CCCCGGCCCCCCGCCCCCGCCTGAAACCCTCCCTGGCCCCCCCGAGCCGCGGCGGGGTGGGTGGGTGCCCGTTCCTGGCACCCTCCAGGCGTTGCACGCCGCCGGCTCAGGGATGTGTGGGGATGCGGGGCTGAGTGCGAGAGGGGCCACGGCAGCCCCAGCCCCAGGTGGCCGTGCCGGGGGTCCGGGGCTGCTCCACTGTCCCCCCCCAGCCCTGCTCCCGTCCCCGGTGAGGCTGGGGGATCCTGACCCCCTCCCACCTGCCCGCGGCTGCTGCGGGGCCGGGACCACAGACACGGCAGTGGGGAAGGAGCCCCCGCACCCTGACCCGCCGCGTCACGCTCTGGCACAGCCCCTCCGTCACCGCACTGGCCCGGATGTGGTGGCCAGGCTGGAGACCTAGCACGGAGCCCTCCAGGCGGGGCCATGCCCCGGGTGTCAGTCCCTGCCTGGGAATTCAGGGGCTGAGCAGGAGGATGCTCTCGTACCCTCCTCCATGGCCAGAGCCGTGTTTGTCGCAGCCCCAGGGACACATGGCCGTGCCCAGGGATGCATGGCAGCATCCAGGGACGCACGGCCATGCCCAAGGATGCACGGTCATGCCCAGGGATGCGTGGCCATGCCTGGATGCCTGCGCAGAGACCCATGGGCTCATGCTGGGACGTGCTGCCAGGGCAGAGCCGTGGGGGGGACACCGGTCGCCGGCTGGCATGACGGATGTCCCATGACGGGTGTCCCGGCAGAGCGGGACGCTCTGCATGGAGGTGGGCTCCTCACGGCCGGTGCCCACCGCCGCGGTGGAGTGCAGGTTGTTGCTGGCAGCCGTCCCGCACGGTCTCCTCATCCGGCACGGTGCAGCAGGGCTGGCTCGGGGCCACCGCCGGTCCTGTAACTGCTGAGTAACAAGGCAGGGCCAGAGGCGAGATGACGCCGCATCCCCTTCGGTGGCCTTCAGAGCCGCTCCACACACCGGGACCCTCCAGCCGCGGGGGTACAGTACAGTCACGCCAGCAAGGTATCGCCCCAGGGGGCAAAAATCCCCCCCTCTGCCAGCGATGGAGGGGCAGAGCCTGCCGCGACACTCACCCCACCGGGCACTGCCAGGGACCTGCCCAGGGGGACGTGCGGGGGGCACTGGGTGGCTTCCCGGTGCCCATGGGCAGCTCTGCCACGCAGTGGGGCCAGGCAGGGAGGCAGCGGCGTGAAAAGAGCCCTGTGTCCCGCTCACACGTTTAACGGCTCCATGGCGAAAGCAGCCGTAGTGACTGGGCGGACACGGGGTGCCCCGCACACGCGCGGGTGACACGCTGAACCCCATCTTGCCATCACGCTCATGGCCGTGGCACAGCCAGGGCCCGGCCCCACCATCCGGCTGGGACGCATGGGCAGCATTGAGCTCGGAGAGGCGGGGGCCAGCCTGCCCCAGCAGATGTGCATTTCGGTGCCCAGATGTGCACCTCGGCGCCCAGATGTGCACCTCGGCGCCCAGGCCGCGGGGGAGCCTCTGCCCCTGGGGGCGGCTGCTCCAGGCCCCTCGCCCGACGGCTCTGCCGGGTGCCGAGGCCGGGGTCAGCGGGTGAGAAAGTGCCGGGGAAGTTATTTGGGTGCCGGAAATGATTTCCCATGAGAGGCTTAGCGCTCAATCTATCCCACGCGCTAAAGAAGATTGGGAGTCATCTTTGTTAGAGGGAATAAATGCTTTGGCAGGGAGAAAACAGCAGCACTAAGAAACCCCTTAATCCCGCGGCGAAGGCAGTAGCCAGCGGTGAACCCCGCGGGGAGGGGTGGCAGCGCGATGCCCTGGCTGACCATCTTCCCAGTGCCCGCCTGGTCCCCCGGTCCCCTCCCAGGTCCCCCCCAGTCCTGATGGGGCAGGACGCGCCCCGGCAGGGCACGGGGGATGCTGGCCAGCACGGGGTGCAACTGGGACCAGCTGAGAAGCGGCTTTGGAGGAGGAGGCGTGAGGGGCGAGGGGCCCGTAGAGCCCCAGTGCCCCCAGCCCGGCTGCCGCGCCGGGCCAGGAAGGGGAAAACAGGGGAAATAGAGCATCGCCCCAGATGGCGGTCAGTGTGAACGGGGGGCTGCAGCTTGCCTGAGCCCCCACCTCCGTGCCCAGGGCGGTGCTGGGGTACGGCCAGGGGGCACAGCACCCCCGGGAGAGCCCTGCCCAGCGCCAAGCGGTGGCGGCACCAACGAATGCCACGTGTGCCCCCCCAGTGCCAGCGTCCCCTCTTGGCGCGGCGTCAGGGCCTCCTGCCTGGCAGCGCCTTGGCTATGGCAGCGGGGGGGTCCCGGGGGTCCGGGCACGGTAGGGGGCAGGGAGGGAGCTTTGCATTCGGGGCTCTCAACTCAGGGGGTGCAGAGGGTCCCCAAGCAGGCTCGCCCGCGGGTGAGGGCAGGTGCGTGCCGGCACGGTGGCAGTCGGCGGCTGGCGGGGCCGCCCCGGGGACGGCGGCGGGCGGTGCTGCTGCTGGCGCTGTCTGGGAGATTAATTTTTAAAGCCGTGTGCGGTGGCGTGGTGGCATGGGGACGTCTGGATCCATCCCTGCTCGTGCCCCTGAGCCGCAGCCGCAGGGTCACAGGGTGCCCACCCCCGGCGCCAGCTGCGCTGTCCCACTGACACCCCGACACGGTGACACGGCTACGGGTGTGCACGCACCCTGGGCACAGGTGCACACACATCTTGCAGGGGTGTGCATACGCCCGCTGTGTAGTGTGCTCACCTCATGCACGGGTGTGCACAGACACCCAGCGCTTGTACACACACCAGCACGCGTATCCGTGTATCCGACGTGTGTGCCCACAGGCGGCTCGTGTGTGCCCACCCCTGTGCCTGTGCACACCCATGGGCATGCATGAGTGGGCACACATGAGTGTGCTAATGCGTGTGTGCATGGGCATGCAGGGATGCGTGTGCATGAGTGAACTCACGGGTGTGCGCAGGGCTGCACACAGGCGTGTGCGTGCATGGGGTAAAGGAGAGCGTGCATGTGTGGGAGCATAAACATCTGCACGCTCGGGCCTGCAGTAGAAATGTGCGTGCGCACGTGCGTGTGTACGAGTGTGAGTGTGTGCACAGGGGTGTGACTGTGGCGTGTGCACACGTGGGTGTGCGCACGTGCACTGATAGGTGCGTGTGAGCGAGTGCAGCCGTGGCGCAGGGGAGCCCCTTTCCCCCCGGGAGGCAGTGGGAGATGCAGCCAGGGTGGGTCCCCGCTGCTGGCAGCTGCTGCGCATCCGTGGCGTCCCGCGGGCTCCCGGCTGTGCCGAAGGAAGCGGGACCCGAAACAGCCCAGGCTCGGCACCAGCGGCCCCGCACCACGTCCCTGCGGAGGGGCTCCATCGCTCGCACCCCCGCCCCAGCCCCCGCCGCTGCGCCCGGCGGCGGGGCTGAACCGGCCCCAAGCTCGTGGCGTCCATGCGCAGCCCCCTCCCCATCGGCTGGGCACCGAAGCCTGTGCCGCACCAAAGCTCCCAACTCCCTGAAGCCCAGGGTGGGGACGGGGACCCTGGGCCAGGGGCCAGGGACGGGGGTGACCACCTGGCAGCAAACCCCCTGGGGCCGTGCCCTGACCCCCGCCCCGCTCTGCCCCCCAGGCGATGGAGAGCAAGCTGCTCATCGGCGGCAGGACCATCGTGGACCACACCAACGAGCAGCAGAAGATGCTGGAGCTGAAGCGGCAGGAGATAGCCGAGCAGGTAACGGCGCGGGGGCCTGACCCGGCGTAGGCGGGCGACGGGGGCGTCCCGGGGGGCCGCTTCCCCCTCCCAGCTCTGAGCATTTCCCCCTGTGCTGCAGAAACGCCGGGAGCGGGAGATGCAGCAGGAGATGTTGCTGCGGGACGAGGAGACCATGGAGCTGCGGGAGACTTACACCTCCCTGCAGCAGGAGGTGGAGATCAAAACCAAGAAGCTGAAGAAGGTGAGAGCACGGCAGGCGGGGACAACCGTCCCTCCGGCCGCCGGGGCCCCGGGGCTTGCGCAGCCCCCGAGCCGTGGGGCTGAGGGGCTGCTCCTCTCCCCCAGCTGTACGCCAAGCTGCAGGCCGTGAAGGCGGAGATCCAGGACCAGCACGACGAGTACATCCGCGTGCGCCAGGACCTGGAGGAGGCACAGAACGAGCAGACGCGGGAGCTGAAGCTCAAGTAGGTGGTTGTGCGTCCGCTGCGGCCGGGTGCAGCTGTGCAGGGTGTGCAGGGCAGAATTGGGGTGCACAGAGCAGAGCTGGGGTGTGCAGAGCAAAGCTGGGGTGCACAGAGCAAAGCTGGGGTGTGCAGAGCAGAGCTGGGGTGCACAGAACAGAGCTGGGGTGTGCAGGGCAGAGCTGGGGTGTGCAGAGCAGAGCTGGGGTGTGCAGGGCAGAGCTGGGGTGCGCAGCTGGAGGGAGCGATACGCCTGCTGACGGGGACAACTGAGCGCTTCCTACCCCGTCAGTGGTGGCAGAAGGCGTAAAACATATTTAACCCTGTTGAGCTGGGTGAGTTGCACGCGAGAGTATAAAAAGTTGCTGAGAAAGGTCCAAAACCAGAAAACACACAGATAGGAACGACAGCACAGCAGCAGTGCGGGCTGCGGCTGCGTTACGGGACGTGGGGCGGTAGCTGGTGCTAAGTGTCCCCCAAGGGCGCCTGGAGACCTGCTCCGGCCCCAGCGCGGTCCTCGGAGGGAGAGCAGCTTCAGGGGGGCTCGGGGGGAGCCCCAGCCCCACCAGAGCCTCCGGCGCGACAGTGGCAGCCGGCAAAGCCGGGCAGTGTTTTCCCTCCGGGAGCCTCCCAGCAGGAGATGCAGCTGCTGGTCCATCACCTTTAGTGGGTTTGGTTTCACTTCAGGCAATAATCTTAGTCAAGATCTATAAAAAAACGCACCCAGACATATATAAGTACCTTAGGATTTTCAAGGTAAAATATTTATACTTTTACCAGAAACAAAATTTCGTCTCAAATTTTGCTACCTTTCTCTTCAAACGTGATTCAAACTTTTCCAAAGCCGGCAGCTCAATGAAGCAACTCATCGACTCGAAACGATTTTCTGCAGCTGCTCAAGTTGCCCCAAAAAAATGTGAAAAAAAAAGATTCCCTTTGGGGTCCATTTTGCGTCATTGAGCTTTCCTTTATTTTCTGGCCGGGCAGCTGGGGGCTCGGAGAGCAGACGGGGCTCCTGCCTGAGTGCCTTTGCCCTCTCTGATGACCGTCTTCCTCTGCCCTCCCTCTCCTGCCTCTCTCGCCTCTCTGTCGGCCGGATCTGTTGCTTCAACCTCTCCATTTCCATCATGTTTCCATCTTCTGGATGTTTTCCCGTTTCCTTGCGTCTCCCTCTCTTCCTGACATCCCTTTCCTCTCCCTTTCCGCCCTGTTTTCTGTCACTTATCACATTAACTCCTTCCTCTCCTGCTCCTTCCCGCCCCCTTGCTCCCGCTCCGTCTCTCTCTCGGCCGGTCACTCGCGCAGGTACTTGATCATCGAGAACTTCATCCCACCAGAGGAGAAGAACAAGATCATGAACCGCCTGTACTTCGACGGTGAGGAGGACCAGTGGAAGTTCCAGCCGCTGGTGCCCACCGGAGGGTACGTCCCTGGCCCCGACCCACGCTCTGCCCCAGCGCTGCCAACCCGCGGGCACGAAGCCTCTGCCTGCAGGGCAGGGATGTCCCCCGGGCTGGGGGGGACAGCAGGGACCCCGGGGTGCTTGCAGGTGCCTACAGGTGGAAATCCTCTCCAAGCCAAGCCCCACCAGGAAGGGCCACCCTTCGCTCGCTGTAGACGAGCTCCGTTCGTCACTGTTTGGATGCATTTTTGGTAGGAATTTATGTTCTCTAATAAATGTTCCTCTCAATTTATTTTTTAGAAACAGCAGCCAAATGAAGAAGCGGCCTACCTCTGCGGTGGGGTACAAGAGACCCATCAGCCAATATGCCCGCGTGGCCATGGCCATGGGATCTCATCCGCGGTACCGGGTAAGTGAGAGGGACTGGTGCGTGCCAGGGGGACAAGAAGTCATTGGATAAATGGGAGGGAGGGAGGGAGGGATGGGTGGGTGGATGGGTGGATGGGTGGATGGATGGATGGATGGGTGGTTGAATGGATGGGTGGATGGATGGGTGGTTGGATAGATGGGTGGATAGATAGGTGGATGGATGGATAGGTGGATGAATGAATGGGTGGATGGATGGATAGATGGGTGGTTGGACAGATGGGTGGTTGGATGGGTGGGTGGATGGATGGGTGGATGGATGGATGGATGGGTGGGTGGTTGGATCGGTGGATGGATGGGTGGTGGGTCGTTGGATGGGTGGTGGGAGAGAAGACGGAGTAAACAAGCTCATGATGATTTGGGATACGTCAGTTCAAGCTCCCAGCTTTATCCTCCCACTTGGCAGGATCGGTGGCTGTGCTCTCAGCTGGTCCTTGAGCTGCTGGCTCACTGGCTCTGGCAGCTCCTGCCATTTGAAAGGACGGGGCCATTCAGCCTTGCCTGCTGGACTCGGCCCCAGGAAAGACCAGAAGAGCCTGAGCAGAGTCAGGAGCCTGGGCTCCAGTTTGGAGCTTGCCCTGTCGCTGGGGCAGCCAGAGGAGGGTCCTGCTCCCTGGCATGCCCGTCAGCTTCTCTCGGCAGTGTGGACTTGCCGGAGCTGGTGCCGTGTTTTGCCACGCGGTGACTCCTTGTGTTGGTTTTCCCTTTGCCCTGTCCTGCTGCAGGCTGAGAACATCATGTTCTTGGAGCTGGACCTCTCCCCTCCAGCCATCTTCGAGTTTGAGCGGAGCAGGGACCCAGCAGAGCAGGACCCCCGGGCTCTCCACCTGGAGAGGCTGATGCACCTGGACAGCCTCCTGGAGCGGCCGGCGGCCTCCCGGGTGAGGAAGTCCCGCTCCTGGTGAGTGCCGGCGGGCGGGGGGGACACGCGGGGGCTGCGGTGCGGCCGGGATGCTCCGTGCGGGGCAGTGCGTGGCCTTGGGGCAGGCGGAGGAGTTGCAGCGGAGCTGCAAGCCCCCCGTTCCTTTTGGGGTTGAAACTGGCCGTCAGTTATTGGGGTGTGACCAGATTTTAAAATATGGCTGATGTTGCTTCAGTAACAGTTGTTGGATAAGTATTAAAAACAGGGTGATGATGTCGTATGTCATCATATACATCTCAGCGCGGGAAAGCCATGGGCCTGTTGGAGCGGGGCCAGAGGAGGCCACCAAAATGGTCAGAGGCTGGAGCAGCTCTGCTGGGGAGAAAGGCTGAGAGAGCTGGGGGGGTTCAGCCTGGAGAGGAGGAGGCTGCGGGCAGAGCTGATTGCGGCCTCTCCGTGCTTAACGGGGGC